ACTGAAAATTGCAAATTTCGCAAGGCTATATATTCCGCATTTTGCAACATTTTGCAACGAAACTTTGGAATATTACTAATTTTGTGATGCTCTTTCAAGCTGTAATGAAATTTTTGTTGAGATCAAAATTTAGTCTATTATGCAAATGTCAATTTAGAAGAAATCTTACATTTTAGAAAAATTTGTGTAAGCATAGACAATGTAGTGGACATGTCTTCTGGATTTTCTATGGTCAAAACATACCCCTGGTCAAACGAGGTCAAACCACTGATCAAACGAGGTTGGGAGTTGAGAAGTGAGACTTTGCATGAGAGTTAACTGGATATTACCGTGCACTTCGCGAAAATCCTTAAAAATCATTAAAATTTGAACCATTTCAAAGTCAATGAGAGTCGATGGGAGTTGGTGGTTAATAGGGTCGGGCGGTTTATCGATAAAACCGATTTTTTAAAAAACTGATTCAATCGTTTTTTCTTTTGACAAAAAAAAACAGAAAAAAATCGGGAAAATATTTGAAACTTGCAGAAACAGTGTGCGAAGCATAGAGTATTAGATGATCATCGAGCGAAAATAAGACCGAAATATTCGTAATTCCCAACCAAAATTGTCGCCATATTTTTTATCTAGTGTTTCCACTATTTTATGAAATGTCCTTTAAATTTTCATAAGGAAATTTCCATTAAAAAACATCGTTTTTTGGGGGGAGTTTCAGATGGTTTTCGGTTTTTACCCATGAACCGCAGAGTTGCAACTCTGATCATCTCTTGTCAACTCTCATCCCCGTTTTAACCTCCAAAAATCCTTGGCTACATCGACATAAATAAAATCTGCAGATGTAACTTGAATAATAATTTTTATTTTGCAGGTTGGACAGTTGAATATCAACAATGATGCATCATCGACAACTCAGCAAGCACCAACTGTTACTCCAACAAGTGATGTGATGCACAGTGATGAAGCGCCAAATAATGGTCACATTTTTTACATTTTATAAAAAAATACCTGTGGTTCCGGTTCCCGCTCGACCCTATTTTGTGGGATGCTGCCAAAATGGCGTCTGCATGTTGTCACACTAATTATTGAAAAAAACATGAAAAAAATATTCAAAAAAAATCATTTCCAACCTACCAACCCTAGTTTTTTCGCGATATGAAACCGGAACCACAGGTATTTTTTTATGCTTTGTGGAATGTTAAACTGAAAAAATTAAACATATAATTTTATTATACCAGATTTCTTTTATTCAACTCATTTTAAACGACTTTAGCAAGTTAGACAAAATTATAATCTGAAGCTTGTTCATTAAGATGAAAAGCAAAATTAACCCATTAAGGGCCAGCGTTCTGTAACTAATAACAAAATACTTAGGATTCAATGCAACTTTATGGGTTACTGGCAATTTATTTTTGTAGATGTAGTTGATGAAAAGCCATTGACAAAAGAAGAAAACTCTCTGCTGACTAAAGTTCTGAGAGCTAAACTTGTTCAATCGACAAAAGAGGTTGAAGTTCAACGCAAAGATCCAAAGTCTCCATTATATTCTGTGAAATCCTTTGAAGAATTGCCACTGTAAGTTGACCATTTAAATTAAACACATTCTTAGATGCTCATCATTTAAATTCTGAAAATTGAAATGATATATATTTTGTCTTATGTCTATAGAAAAGAGGCATTGCGTAGAGGCGTGTATGGTATGGGATTTAACTCTCCATCTAAAATACAAGAAACAGCTTTGCCAATGCTTTTAGCTGATCCGTAAGTAAATGCGGTTATTATAATAACTTGTAGTTGCTGACATAATGAAGAAATTTGCTTTGAATTCCTATATTTTTGGTTGCATGTGTACATTGTAGTGTGTTCTATGTTCATGCATGATTCCCATCACCCATGATTATTTGTTTGTCTGCCTCATTAGCATCTGTTTGTCCACATCAAGTGGAACCTTGATTACTTGGAAAAACATTGCTGTGGTATATAAAATGCATTCCAAATCACTCTTTTCCTTTTTAACAAAGCTGGATGCATGCGAGGGTGTTTGTGCCTCTCAAAATTCAATGTCGACCATTATATGTGAAATTATATATTTTCATGCACAGTAATTTTTATGGGGTTGTGGTACACAAATTTAATATTGAGTAACTGATATTTTGGAAGGTTTATATATTGTTATACTACTGTATGATCTCAGGATTATTAATGGAAAGACAAGTCAATTATTTGAACCAAGGCATGGCAATTTCATTCCCATTATTTGTAATACAAGCTCATAGTCATATTTTTTATCACCCTACAGACCCAATAACATGATTGCTCAGTCTCAGTCAGGAACAGGAAAAACTGCTGCATTTGTTTTGACCATGTTGAGTCGTGTGAATCCTGAAGAAAGCTTTCCACAGGTAATTATCACTACTCATCACAATAGAATTTTAATTTGAGACTTTGAAAGAATGGAAGACAATAATGCCATTTCAGAAACTCTATGGGGAGCAATATTACCCCCAGGCCCCTTCACTTCCCTCAAGTAGACCAATCGTCTGATGTCTGTGGAAAAAAGTGGTTTAAGCATATTGCAGGAGTCAAAGCCTGGATACCCCACTTGCATCACAGACTCCATGTTAACTCTTACTTTATTCATGTTCACCCGAAAGGTAATTTGTCTTTCACCCACCATGGAGCTGGCAAAACAAACAGGGGCTGTTGCAGAACAAATGGCTAAGTATTGTCCAGAAGTCAAGATAGCATATGCCATTAGAGGGAATCGCCGTAAGTAAACAAGCTTTTTCTATATAAACATAATTGGTTTAGAGTAATATTTGCAGAAATATTTTTACTACTTCGTAAAAAAGCTTTATACAGTAATTGATGCATTGTCTGCATGCTTTATATTGGGACTAATGTAATAATGTTAGGAAAATGTCAACAATGCAGGAGCTACCCTCTTTGTGTATTGAATCTATTTAAAAATTGTATTGAAATCATAGCTGAAAACTGGGCATCAGATTTATTTTCTGCATAGAAAGAATGAATACTGTAAATAAAGAAATTAATGAAGGAAAAACTTAAGGAACGAAAAAATGAATATTTTTATTATTGATCCTTATATTGTTTGGTTCTTACATTGTTTGCAAACTAGTTTCTCGTGGTGAGAAGTTAACGTCTCAAATCATCATCGGTACACCTGGTACATTAATGGACTGGATATTAAAGGTAAGAGCATTTGATCCCAAGAAGATTAGAGTGTTCGTGCTGGATGAAGCTGATGTCATGATTGATACACAAGGCCACAAAGACCAGTCTGTTAGGATTCACAAGTAAGTTCTTGACCTCTTTGTTAAAGGTAGTATACTGTAACTAGTAGTGGAATTGAAGGTAGCTAGTGCATAAACGAAAGATCTATATAGTGTTGTAGAGATTCTATATTTATGTTTTCAATCAAATTAAAAATTGATTTCTTCATTTCTTCGTGAGTTTAACCTGTATGACTATATTTCATTAATTTATTCTTACTTAGATTTTTGCCCAAAGATTGTCAGATGTTGCTCTTCTCTGCAACATATGAAGAACAGGTCATGAAGTTTGCAGAAAGTATAATTCCTGAACCTATAGTTATACGTCTACGACGAGAAGAAGAGAGCTTGGAAAACATCCGGCAATTCTATGTCGTCTGTACTGGCATGGAACAAAAGTTTGAGTCCTTAAGTAATATGTATGGTGTCATATCTATCGGACAGTGTATTGTCTTTTGTCATGTAAGTGCTCTTTTTTCTATTTTTTTGGAGAACACCATATCGATAGTAAATTAATATCGATCATATCGACAGTAATGTGTACCACATCTGTCAAAATGTTTCCTTTGGTTGGCTATTTAATGCTGCATGAAAAATTAGGTGTCACTTATAAAATATTGTCAACATGATGTTTATAAAATATTGTCAACATAATTAAACAAGTGTAGTGTATAATATGTAGTTTTTTCGTTCTTCCAATATTTTTTAATCTGTTGAAAATTCCCTATTCAAAAGCTTGCTAAAAAATACAGTTAGAGTCAGAGAACATCTGACCTATTATTATTATGGGTGCTTCTTGGATTTTTAACAATTAAACGTTTTGGTTTTTTTGTTTAGACGAGGAAAGCCGCTGCATGGTTGAGTGAAAAAATGTCACGAGAAGGCCATTCTGTTGCCTTGCTATCTGGAGAAATTACCGTCGAACAAAGAATAGCTGTACTTAATCGCTTTCGTGCAGGCAAAGAGAAATTGCTGATCACTACAAATGTATGTGCCCGAGGTATTGACATCGAGCAAGTGTCAGTTGTAATAAACTTTGATCTGCCTATGGACAGATTTAATGCACCTGATTTCGAAACTTACTTACACAGAATTGGGAGAACTGGACGATTCGGTCGCTATGGTCTTGCTGTAAATTTCGTTAACGAAGGTCGTGATTTACCATTGTTAAAGAAAATTGAAGAACATTTTGGACGGCCTATTGAAGAACTGAACACCAATGATGTAGACGCGCTTGAAAAATTAAACGAGTAAACCTGATTCTAAGTAGGAGATAAAGTTGGAGATAAGGTTAAACAGTTTCAAGATCAAGATTAAGTAATAGGCAAGGTTATGTTTGGAAAAGGGGTTGACATTTTGTTGTTGTTAATTTAAATATTTTAAAACGTATACGACTATAATTAAACTACAGTAATATTATTTTATATCAAATAGTTTGTTTAAAGAACGTTATTGTATATACTGTGCTAGTAGTATACTTGATCACCCATATAAAATTTCACAAGTGCGTTAACGCCATATTTTATTTCTCTTTTTCACTGTCAGAGCCACTATATCTGGAAATATTATATAATATATTCATATAAGAAAGGCCCTGTTGGGACTGACGGTCGCAGGAACATCTCAAAAACGAAACAACTTTCTTGCAGGCACATTTTGTTACAACTTGAGAAATAAATGTTTAATTAATCAAAATCTAAAATGTTGCCAAAATAGTCGGCAATCTTGATTACTTGAAGCAGAAATCCCTCACTTTGCAAGCAAAACAGCTATATTTTCCAAACATGAAGTATTTGAAGTGGTTGTCATGGTGACACGACATTTTACTCTTTGAAAAGAACGAAAAAATATCACTTCTGCAATTATAAAATTGGATGTGATTGAATTAAAACGATAAAGGCGATTTAGTAGTATTTAATTATAGAGAGAAATAATTAAAGTACAGCAGTATAGACTTTCTGCAGCCACTGCAAGTACACTGAATAATGAACAAATCCATATACTTGACAATGGCAGCTGGATTTTTTAACAGGATGTTGATTGCTTAATGCGAAATGTTTTACAGGTTGCGTGCATTTGATATTGCTGTACTGTATATGCATGATTAATATACTAATTCAATTGCGTGTTTGTCCAAACAGTATAAACGTCAACTTACACTAGCGATGAAACTTGCGTTCACAGTGAACATGTTTGACCGTAAGCATTCTTGGATTTATCGAGATGTGTTTTGGTTTGTTTTCGTTTTGAGTTTGGCGTACCTCGAAGAGGCAGAAAGTAAATGTACTGAAGCATTCTTCAAGCAAATTGATGGTGCGTATACCAATGTCGATTTCAGGTTCAAAGCGCGATTCCCAAATTCATTGTGAATATTCCCAATTATACGTTTCTAAATTTGGAATAATCAATAATGGGCGTGGAACTCGTAAAGCCACGGGTATATAGGCCGTATAGCGAATTAGCGATTTTCCTTTCCAAACTTGATAGCATTTTGGCAGCTATAATCCTATATGCACGCTCACAATACTAGATTAAGAAACCAACAAAAAACACAAAAAAATGCCATTATTTAATATTTAGGGGCAGGCCTAACAACAATCGTTTTGTCCACACATCGAGTCAAGCACTTGCCATATTGTGCAAAGCATTGTTCTGATAATACGGAGAAATGCGCTGGATTTAAATATCGTTCTCCCACAAACCATCTACCGAATTGTGAAGTTCTCAAGGCAATGGGCATCTGTAGGCCTAATTACAACAAGTCGAGGACTGAATGTGAGGGAGACACTTGGCAGTTCTTTCAAACAGTCCAAGATAAACCGGTAAGCGTAAACTTGGACCGTTTAGTGATACCTGGGGAGTCTCTTTTTAATTTTTTATTTTCACTTTCATTCCAGCCACATTCGAAATTAAACATATGTAAAAACGGTGGAACATGTGTTAAAGAGCATTGTCTCAGTGATGACTTCAGATGTATTTGTCGTGGAAACTTTTTTGGCAAGTTTTGCAATGAAGTGAATGGTAGGTTCATTCCTTTGGCCACTTTAATCATTTTCCCTTTTCATTTGTTGTGCAATTAGAATACCAAGTCTAAGTAAACGTTTAATTCCAATTATGTATCATGCATATAACTATCATGCAGTACAATTAGTTTAATCTGCCCGGCAAAGCAAGACTAACCTAATTAATTTCTCATCCAATCAGTTTATCCGAATTTAACCAAAATTTAATCAATTTGTTCTTGAGCAATGCTCTTTATTCTTTAATCAATATGTTTTTGAGCAAGCTCCTGACGGAGATATGACAAGCAAACATATATCTAATATGAACTCACATAAATTGCAAGATGATACTGCAGCAGTAAATTATTTTATACAACGTTTTAGAGACTTCTGCTTCTTGTGAAGAATTACACCAAATTGGCGGGTAAGATTGTTTACTTTTGGTATAAAACTATAAATACAGAAAGCAACATTTTTTGATTGCTTAAAGTTTATCCACTGGTATGTTGTTATAGTGGTTTATAGTATTGAGCACGTTTCTCTAAGTATCATCAAGTTGCTTCTTTACCGTTCATGGTTCTTTGAAATATTTCAGTGATTTACTAAACGGGGTTTACAGCATTCAAACCAAGACAGACACAAGGATGACGAAAACCTACTGTCAGATGACGTCACTTGAAGGCTGTGCAGGTGGTGGTTGGACCATGGTGATGAAAGTCGATGGACATAAGGTTTGATTTTTACTGCGATTTGCTTTCAAAGTATATACGACGTGTATAATGTAGCTGTCTGCATGGCGTTTATGTATAGGAAGTACTTTTAACACCTTCGGTAACATACATGTACAACTTACCCGTGTAGATGGTTAGGTACATTGGGTGGGAGGCCTGCCGTTTGTACACCAGATACTTACCATTACTTGGATTCAGGTCAAGCTTCCAAGTATTGACCTGACCACCCGTTTGCACCTATCACACCGAGTTACTCGGTGGAACGCAAACAAATGATGAAGAATTAAGAATCAGAGTGACAAGAAATATTTTTTTCTTGCTTGCGCTTACAATTGCTTGTCAAGCTGCGCTTCTCACAATGATGCAGGCAACGCCTGTTGTGCTTCCTGCCTTTAACGCCTAGGTTCGGCCCATGCTCCGCGCGCTATGTTACCTAACTTACCTTGTTGTTAACCTTGCTTATTGCATAACCTCATTAAACTACTTTTTATCTTTAAAAGGCTAATGCGCCTAAGCCCACTCTTGACGCCATCATCTTCCGCCATCTCTTGACTTTATATTGCTTTCAGCCAAAATATTTCAATAGTTATAAAGCTTAAGGCATGAAAAGTCTGCAACAAGATTTAATACATAATTTTAAACGTTCTTTGAATGAGATAAACTAAATTTTTATTTCCAATGCTCTTTAATGCAATAAATTCCGATCTTCTTTATTAAATTACTTTATTTTAAACAGAAAACATTTAAATACAATTCCTCGTACTGGTCAAACGAACAAACATTTAATCCCATTGGTGGAACATCTGGCTTTGATGACGTGGAAACAAAACTGCCAACCTACTGGAGTACTTCATTTAAGGAGCTATGTATTGGAATGAAAGTCGGCAATGATTCCTGACGATACCTTACGCCGGTGAATCATTGCACAGTGTGATCGCTGACGGAAAATTTCATCGTACCTTTGTTGGACGAGAAAAGTGGAAGTCATTGCTGGCGGGTGCGTCACTTCAACGGCAATGCAACAAAGAGGGCTTCAACAACTACAAACCTTTGTCGCAATTCACCAGTGTTCGAATTGGTATCCTTGGCAACGAGCAAAATGACTGTAATTCGCCTGACTCATTTCTGGGTATAGGAGCCAAACACCAAGCATCTGCATGTATAGTTGATAATTCTGCAATACCTACTAGCGGTAATTACGGAACATGCACAACGGACAATGGAAAAAAGAATATTAAGTCGATGGGATACATTTTAGTTCGTTAAGCTTGGATACCGCGTGAAAGATTATAGTTTGATATCTATATTATCCTTCTACTAAACTGCCAGAAGGTATTTTATTTCTTAAAAATCCATAAAATTTCTTTAAAATGCAATGGCAGCGGCAGCAGTAATATTCCCGCTTGATTAATGATGTATCTTACGCATGCGCATAGCGTTGCATTATAGACATAGTATACGTAATGATGCAACGCTGCCTTTTTGGGTGACTATGGAAAATAACAATATAAAGTTCCTTAATGCAAGATGTTTTACAGGTTGCGTGCATTTGATATTGCCGTAATGTATGCATGATTAAATATTTATAATATAGCATTTGTAAATTGTGAACGCTGATTGGCTAAGAGCCGTGTTGATATAACTCAATGTCAACGCGGAAACGTCGGAAAATTTCTTTCTTTATGTTTCTTTGTGCTATATTATAAAACAAATATAAAACATTTTTTCCGTATTGATATACATGCAGTTATATATATCAACACTCGTGGAAATTGGGAAAACGAGAAATTGTGTGAAAACACTCCGCCCTTCGGGCGTCGTGTGTCCACACAATTTCTCCACTAATTTAATTGCGTGTAAACAAGCGCCAATTTACAGTAGCGATGAAACTTGCGTTCACAGTGAACATGTTTGATCGTAAGCATTCTTGGATTTATCGAGATGTGTTTTGGTTTGTTTTCGTTTGGAGTTTGGTACGCCTCGGAGAGGCAGAAAGCAAATGCACTGAAGCATTCTTCAAGCAAATTGATGGTGCGTATATATACCAATGTCGATTTCAGGTTCAAAGCGCGATTCCCAAATTCGTTGTGAATATTCCCAATTATGTTTCTAAATTTGGAATATTGGACGTGGAACTCGCAAAGCTAACTTCGCAAGTTGCTTACTAAAGTACTCAACAAACTCGTAATTTGCAGTGTTTTACTAACATGGCCAGCCAACATATTTGACGAATTATTTAGGCCAAGTAAAAAAAAAATAGTTTCTCGTCCCTGCGCGCATCCTTTTTCCCTGCCGCATGGATTTTTCTTTTTTTTTATGTTCTATATTCGAGCTTTTTAAAGATTTTCTTTCCACTTAGTATATTTCAGCCATTTTGCTTCTCTCGGCATAGTTCGGTTGCCGTTCGAAAATTTTCGTCAGCTCTAGCTTGCTGTTCGGTACTTCGCGCCCGCTGTTCGCGCCATATTGTTATTTTGGCGCCATATTGTTAGGAAGAGATTATTTCGCTTGCCTCAGAGTGACAAAACGTAACAAAGCAACGGTTTTACCAGGGGCGCCGGAAGCAATGTGAAACGGCGGGGGCAGCCATTTCAAAAGGGCACTTCATTTTTCTGGGCGGCAATATTTGTTAAAACTTTGCTGTATGGATACTCGATTACTTGTGGCTATTATGGGTCGGCAGACTTCGACATTAATTTTGAACAATTTTATTCGTTGCACCTTGCTAAAGGCGCAAAATAAAATCAGTAGACGAACGTATATTGGTTGATTCAGCATTAATTTTACCACAACTGGATAAAAATTAAGCAAAGATTGCTTAAGTCCGATCTGCGTATGTGCACAAAGGATCGAGCCCTCTTTTTATTATACAAACAGTTTATTTACCGCAGTAATTGTCTGACGCTGTTGCGGTGCTCCTGCCAAACTTAGTAATTTCTGTTATGTTATGTTATGTAATTGCGGGAACCACTGAGTATTTTCATAAAATACAATACAACGGTAACTCCGATTTTCTGTTAACTCATATTTTATGTTATGTAATTTATATATAGTAATTTTGTATATTTTTTGTTGGCGAAGCTAATAAAACTAAAACTAAAAAACTAAATTTACGTTTTTATTTCATTTTATGTTCTTGCAAAGCTTGATTGTTGTGTCTTGATAATTTATCATACTCTAGAATCATGAAAATATAAATAGTTTTCGAATAAAATTCTATATTTTGGATACCGAAATGTAAACAAAGCCTTTGTTGACTGTATACCGCATCTTTAAACATTGCTTAAAAATAGTTCTAAATTCCAATTTCTGTGAATAATCACAAATTCCGAGGTGCAGTTCTGACAAAAAGGGCAACCTGTTGCCCCCGCAATGCTTGGGTCCGTGGCTCCGGCGCCCCTGGGTTTTACTAACACTAACCCTACTCAAAACACCAACTCTAACCGTAACCCTAACCTAACCCTACTCCAAATTTGTTTCTAAACCAATCTTGAAGAAAAAAGTTTTGAAGAAATGTCATTCTGAGGTCAGCGAAATAGTTGATGCCATATTGTTATTTTGGTGCCATATTGTTATTTTGGCGCCATATTGTTATTTTGGCGCCATATTGCCACGTTTTATGAGTAAACGTCAATATTTGCGTGTGTTTATAGGTTATTTGGTAAACTTTAACATATTAGAAGGTTTAACAAAACTGAAAGCGCCCGCATTCTTTTTTTTTCATTTCAAAATTCGGGCGAGAAACTACTAATTTTTTTTACTTGGCCAATATATTAAAGCTTTTAAGAAATACATAGTCAATTCGTTAGTAAAACACTGCAAAATTACAAGTTTATATTCAGTACTTTGGTACTTTAGTTCAGAACTTCCACGCCCATTACAAGTTTAATTACATGGGCGTACCGGAAGGAAAAAATTAGGGGGGCGGAAAGAAAATTGCCCGACTTTTCGAATTCTGCCCGACTAGTATCAAAAACATTTTTCCGGAAAAATTATTTTGGCGAAAAATTTCGGTCAGTGTACCATTTTAGGGGTCAAAAAATTTTTCCGGACAACCAATTTTTTTCGGAACATAACACAAATTTTCGAAAAATCGCAAAATTTGCCAAAAATTTGACTTAATTTTAGACAAAATTGACAGAATTTGTCCCATTGTTTTTATTGCAAGCCAAAATTGCCCGACTGTTGATCGAATATTGCCCGACTGCTCAAAAAACTGGGGGGGCTACCCCGCCCCCCCCCCCGCCCGGTACGCCTATGTTTAAATATAACTGATTGTAAGGAATTAGTACCCTACGAGCAGAGTCCTCTTGTATTTCTTCACGGTACGGAGAAACGAGAGAGACTGCAGAACTTGTGTACAAATTGATTTGAGCATGCGCGAAGGTTGCTAAGCAACTGCTTATTTCCCAGAAGAAGATTTATAAAGTAGTTTCCGGTTCGGTTGTTTCCGGCATCAAAACCGGTTATGAAACCAGTATCAAACCTGAAATTACGCATAATTATCCAAGTTTTTGGATTGTCGGCTCCACAAAGAATATACACAAGTTCTGCAGAGTCTCTCTCGCTTCTCCGTGCCGTGCCGAGAAGAATACGAGAGGACTTTGCTCGCAGGGTAGGCATTAGCATGCAAGGTAGGAATTAACAGACGCATTATTTTTCTGAAATGACGTGTTTTAAAAGCAGTGGGTCGCGATTTTTTTTTCAAAACTTGATAACATTTTGCAATCTCTTATGTTAAAATTTTCTGGTAAAGACTTCCATATCGATCGAACACCACATACATATAAACTCCAACTTGTTGGAAAAAGGAACATTTAGTCGATGGGATATGTTTTAGTTCGTTAAGCTTAGATACCGCGTGAAAGATTATAGTTTGATATCTATATTATCCTCCTACTAAACTGCCAGAAGGTATTCTATTTCTTAAAAATCCATAAAATTGCTTTTAAATGCAATGGCAGCAATGCTAATAGTAATATTCTCGCTTGATCAATGATGTTTCGTGCACAGATGCACGCTCACTACTAGATTAAGAAACCAACAAAAAACACACAAAATATGCCATTATTTAATATTTAGGGGCAGACCTAACAACAATCGTTTTGTCCACACATCGAGTCAAGCACTTGCCATGTTGTGCAAAGCATTGTTCTGATAATACGGAGAAATGCGCTGGATTTAAATATCGTTTTCCCACAAACCATCTACCGAATTGTGAAGTTCTCAAGGCAATGGGCATCTGTAATTATAACAAGTCGAGGAGTGAATGTGAGGGAGACACTTGGCAATTCTTTCAAACAGTCCAAGATAAACCGGTAAGCGTAAACTTGGACCGTTTAGTGATACCTGGGGAGTCTCTTTTTAATTTTTTATTTTCACTTTTATTCCAGCCACATTCGAAAGCTAACATATGTAAAAATGGTGGAACATGTGTTAAAGAGCATTGTCTCAGTGATGACTTCAGATGTATTTGTCGTGGAAACGTTTTTGGCAAGTTTTGCAATGCCAATGGCAATGAAGTGAATGGTAGGTTCATTCCTTTGGCTACTTTAATCATTTTCCCTTTTCATTTGTTGTGCAACTAGAATACTAAGTAAACATTCCATTCCAATTATCTATATTATGTATCATTACACAATCAGTTTACTCTGCTGGGCAAAGCAAGACTAACCTAATTAACTTCTCATCCAATAATAAGTTTATCCGAATTTAACCAAAATTTAATCAATTTGTCATTGGGCAATGTTCATTAGTCCCACAAATTTCGTATTCAATTTTCGCATTCAATACGTTTGATATTTTCTAAGATATCGTGATTACCTGCAGATATACACATATTATAAAACGCACGAGCTCCTGACCATAGATTAAGTAAGGTATATATTTCATCTGTGTCCTGACGGAGGTAACAAGCAAAATATATCCAATATGAGCTCACATAAATTGCACTGTAATATACTGCAGCAGTAAATTATTTTATACAACGTTTTAGGGACTTCTGCTTCTTGTGAAGAATTGCATCAAATTGGCGGGTAAGATTATTTACTTTTGGTATAAATGCAGAAAGCAAGAAAATTTCTTGATTGCTTATTAAAAGTTTCCACTGCTATCGTGCTACAGTGGTTCATATTATCGAGCACGTTTCCCCGACTAAGTATCATCAAGTTGCTTCTTTCGCTTTGAAATATTTCAGTGATCTACCAAACGGTGTTTACAATATTCAAACCAAGACAAACACAGGAATGACGAAAACCTACTGTCAGATGACGTCACTTGAAGGCTGTGCAGGTGGTGGTTGGACCATGGTGATGAAAGTCGATGGACATAAGGTTTGATTTTACTGCGATTTGCTTCTAAAGTATACAACGTGTACAATGTAGCTGTCTGTATGGCGTTTACATACAGCCGGAAGTGTAGTTACACTATAGCTACTTTTTATCTTTTAACCAAAATATTTCAATAGTTACGCTTGACATGAAAAGTCTGCAACAAGATTTATACATAATTTTAAACGTTCTTTCAAATTAAACAAATTAAATTTTTAGTTCCAATGCTCGTTGACGCAATAAATTCATCTTTATTGAATTACTTTATTTTCAAACAGAAAACATTTAACTACAGTTCCTCGTATTGGTCAAACGAACAAACATTTAATCCCATTGGTGGAACATCTGGCTTTGATGACGTGGAAACAAAACTGCCAACCTACTGGAGTACTTCATTTCAGGAGCTATGTATTGGAATGAAAGTCGGCAATGATCTACGCTTCCTGACGATACCTTACGCTAACGAATCATTGCACAGTGTGATCGCTGATGGAAAATTCCATCGTACCTTTGTTGGACGAGAAAAGTGGAAGTCGTTACTAGCGGATGCATCACTTCAACGGCAATGTAACAAAGAGGGCTTCAACAACTACAAACCTTTGTCGCAATCCACAGGTGTTCGAATTGGTATCCTTGGCAACGAGCAAAATGATTGTAACTCACCTGACTCATTTCTTGGTATAGGAGCAAAACATCAAGCATATGGATGCCCAGTCGATAACTCTGGCTCTGCAATACCTACTAGCGGTAATTGCGCAACATGGCAACCAGACAATGGAAGAAAGAACATTAAGTCGATGGGATACATTTTAGTTCGTTAAGCTTAGATACCGCGTGAAAGATTATAGTTTGATATCTGTATTATCCACTTACTGCCCACTGGACTGCCAAAACTCGAAAGGCATTTTATTTTTTAGAAATCCGTAAAATTGCTTTAAAGACACAGTCTAGCCATTTGAATTATGGTTTTTAAGGCGCATTTCAGCCCTTTTAATTGAAATTATTTTAATTCAAGATCAGTAAAGTTAACTTTTTAACATTTTAAAACATTAATTTTTATTGTTAAAAACATTGAGTTTACTGATTTTGAATTATGCATAATTGATTTTCCTAGTTAGTTTTTTCAATTAAAAGGGCTGAAATGCGCCTTAAAAACCATCATTCAAAAGGCTGAACTGTATGTGCCTTTAAAATGCAATACTAAAAGTAATATTCTCGCTTGGTTAATTCACACTAAAACCTCTACAATTCGTATTTTATTATTATCGGCACAGTGCATGCGCATAGCGTTGCATCATAGTATATATAGCCTACATAATGATGCAACGCTGCCTTTTTGGGTGACTATGGAAGAATAATGATATAAAGTTCCTTAAAATACTCATTTATTAATTATTATTCATAAACCTTGTGGCAAATCATGTCAGCCATAATATGTCACGTGGTGTGACTTTATATCTGATAAAACACATGTGGCATTATATAATTGTTCATCTTAATTAGCATGATTATACTATGGTTCATCCTAATTGGGTATAGGAGCCAAACACCAAGCATCTGCATGCATAGTTGATAACTCTGCAATACCTACTAGCGGTAATTACGGAACATGCACAACGGACAATGGAAAAAAGAATATTAAGTCGATGGGATACATTTTAGTTCGTTAAGCTTGGATACCGCGTGAAAGATTATAGTTTGATATCTATATTATCCTTCTACTAAACTGCCAGAAGGTATTTTATTTCTTAAAAATCCATAAAATTGCTTTAAAATGCAATGGCAGCAATGGCAGCAGCAGTAATATTCTCGCTTGAATTAATGATGTATCTTACGCATGCGCATAGCGTTGCATCATAGACATAGTATACATATATAATGGTGCAACGCTGCCTTTTCGGGTGACTATGGAGCCTCCAGACTTGCAAACTCCATAGTTGCTTAATTATGCAATATGTAGTGCAAACATTTCATAAAATTAGGTATACGACTTATAATCCGCCTGAACTATGCTAAATATTAATTGCAAATTTCTTAAAGAACGAATGGTGACTGCACTTCTGTGGGAAGACTTAACATGAAAGCCTGGTAAACATTTTAGCTATTTTGTGCGGACGTTTTTACGCTTGTTTTTGAGACTAAATATCGGGAAAATATACAGCAGTTTTGAGCTTCAATTGAAGAAAGCGTTTAAGGCAAGAAAGGTTTATCAACTACGATTTGAAATACGCCGAGGTCAAGGACAGAACGGTACAGCATCATAAAGAAAACGCGGCTTGTGTCAGTGTTGTAATTAACAAGGCATGTAGTGGAATTATATTATTGCTGGTTCTCTGACTCAAAGCGATGTAGAGCAGATGTTCGACGAAAAACACAAAAGAAGCGTTCTGTTTTGCCGCTAGGAACATCGTGCTTTTATAGTGGTAAGTTAATTAAAGCGAAGTCTGAGAGCCTTTTCATACTAGCTCTATTTCCAGCCGTTCCGCACGTTGTAACCAATAATCTATTGGCGTTGTAATGCCATTGTATGCAATAAAGTATTGGGTTGTAGTGGACTAGTGGGTCTACGATTAATCCGAACGTTAATCCAAATCCAAATCCTAACCCCAACCCTAACCCCTGACGCCTAACTCCTAACCCCCACCCCCTAACCGCTAACCCCACCTCCTAACCCCTAACAACGCATTCCCTCCGGGAATTTGTCCTACCGCCTCCCCTCCGTCATCCAAGTTAAGCCAATAACATTTATAACTAAAACTTTTGTCTAATGCTTGTGGTTTTGTTTTCAGTTACAACCCAATACTTTATTGCATACAATGGCATTACAACGCCAATAGATTATTAGTTACAACGTGCGGAATGGCTGCTATTTCCCGGGGAGCTGATCCGAGTATGTGCAAATAAGTGTGATGTGTGTGTCCATGTGATTCTTTTATCCCGCATCTAATATCCCGCCTCGGTGGGACAAAATTACGAAACTATGGTGTCTTCAAAGTACCCAGTTTGTTGCGATTAAACAAACTGTACTAGCCAGGGGAGATTGTATTACGACTTTTGAGGTGTTTGCTTAGCCTTAGGTCTGTAATGCTTGTTTATATTTTTCAAATGTAGCTTAAAATCTGAAAAAAATTGTGCAAAACTTTAGGGTTATTGTTCCGCGCGGGCGAAGCGGTCACCACGAGCATGCGCCGTAAAGTTATGGCGTGTTGGTCAGGCACAAGAGACTTCGCTTGTGACGCGCTTGCGCGCTTTGAAAAATTTAAACTTTCAAAGTAGGACGCTTATATATATATATATATATACACTATTGAAACTGAAACGGCTGATGATTCTTTACTGATGATTCTTAACACGCCTGATGATTCTTTACTGATGAAACAGACTGTTGCGAAATTTTGAGGTAAGCGAAATTATATATATATATATATATATATATATATATATATATATATATATATATATATATATATATATATATATATATATATATATATATAAGCGCCCTGTTTCAAAGCGTGCACGCGCGAAAACAGGTGCACTTTATAGCCATAATTAACCGTGGCTCTAAGATATGCCGAAAAACAGGCATACTTTATAACCATAATTAACCGTGGTTATAAGATATGTCACGTACTTTATAGCCACAATTAACCTTGGCTATAAGATATGCCGAAAAACAGGCATACCTGTTAGCCACAGTTGGTGGCTATAAAGTACGCTATAGGTACACGTCAAATATATATAATCTATACGTATGCAATTTTCGTGTTTTGACATGTAGTCTTCGTTTTCGAGTGTGTATGTAATATTTCTAAAAAACCTGGTTATTTGAAATAATCGGTAAAATGGTTAAAAAAATGTAATGACACCATGTGTAGATGTTCTCAGATCAATATCAAAAGCATTTTAGTTTTATCAAGTGAATGTGACATTTGTGCTATATGATTTGAATACGTTAATTTTGTTAATTCTTAATATTTTCACAATTTATCCACATAAGCACATAACTGATGAATTTTCCTTTATTTCACACATTTTAATGACATTTAATATTAAGCAAAGTAAATTTAAAATTGAATTCTAAGCTGTGGCTACTGCTATTGCGCACTCTAACTTAAAGATTAAATTAAAGCGACAAATTTAATAATTAAAGAACAACAATAGTTTGTAAAATCGGCTAAAGTCATTACCACCCGCCAGGAGGTCATGTTTTCATCGACGTTTGCCGTGTCTGCGTACTGTGTTTGTCAGCACGACGATTTAAAAAATATCAAACGTATTAATACAAACATTTGTGAGACTAATGGACATTGCCCAAGGACAAATTGATTAAATTTTGGTTAAATTTAGTTGAAAATTGTGTGAGAAATGAGCAAAAGTTTGCCTTGCTTTGCCAGGCAGAGTATTAAAGTGAATACGTAATTAGCCCATTGTATAATTTATGCATGATACATAACTTAATTATCTGGCGGAGGTAAGCTGTAGTCTTCGACCTTCGAGTTGCGCTCTGTTTTTTCTCACTTTAATTAAACAATACACCCTTTCGATAATTGGTCTAGGAGCCTCGCTCTCAATAGTTCATTACGCAAGGTAATCGGCTGATTCGGCTAACGTTTCATGAGAGCGAAGCTCCACGGCCAAATGACGTAATTATCAAAAGGGTGTATTCAT